GTACTAATTCTGTATGGCTATAAGAAAGATTATTAAAAAAATTAAAAAAAAAAAAAAAAAGGTTCAAATGAGAAGGGGGTAGAGAAGGGACAAGAAAACAGAAGAAAAAAAATGAAACCAAAGCTTTTGTAAGTGATCTGTAAATTATTTTCATCATTATGTACTGCAATGTGCTAATTTTTTGCTAAAATTCTAAAAAAAAAAAAAAAGCAGTAGTTCAGGTTTCTTAACGTGGCGTGTATATGAGGGGGGTGCTGACACAACAGTTTCTCAAGTCAGCAGCACACCCATAGGTTCACTGAACGCAAGGGAGCTGGGGGTGGGGAAGCTGGGGGGGGTGGGGTGGGGGTGGGGGTGGGGCCGCGCGGCCGTGCGGGGCAAAATGTTCTGGAACCAAAACACCCAAGGCACTCACTGAAGACGTGCCCAGGAAGAAGGCCAAGAGGAAGGGATGGGGAGAACCCAAGTGAAATGAGGTCGGGAGAAAGCCAGCCAGCGCCGGGAAGGAAAACTAGGAGCACGCCAGGCCAGAACGCGTCTGAAAGGAGTTTCCCAATATCAGTGAAATTATTCGCAAAACCGTCCCGACTAAGACCCGAGCCCCACCCCGGCACCAGGAACCCAAACACCCTGGGGCGAAACCACGCTGCGCAGGCGCAGGCGCACTCACAGACCCTGCGCTATTTCCAGAGGGCTTTTTGCATTTGGCGCGAAACCTCCATTCGGTGGGTGTGGCCCTAGGAGAAGCCGCCTTTCATTGGGCAGGTTTGGCGCGAAATCCCCAAGCTCCGGCCCCCGGATTGGCTCCCGCTGGGGAAGGGCGGAAGCGGCGGCGGGCGCGCGCAAGGCAGCGGCGTCTGGGGACCGGCGGCTCGTGGCGGTGGTGCTCGGCGGCGGCTCCTCGGCAGCAGGCAGCGATGGACCTCGCGGCGACAGCGGAGCCGGGCACCGGCAGCCAGCACCAGGAGGTCCGCGATGAAGTGGCCGAGAAATGCCAGAAGCTGTTCCTGGACTTCCTGGAGGAGTAAGTGTGGTGCGCCCGGGCCTCCCCCGCCGCCCGCCAGCCCGCCCGCCCGCGAGCCCGAGTCCTGCTCGGGAACCCGGGCCGCGCGCCGGGAAGGGCTGCGCCTGCCGCGGGAAGCCTGGGGCGGGGGCTGGTTCCGGGGCGGAAGCCTCCGCGGGACCGTGTGGTGCGCAGTGCCCTGTGCGCAGCGCTTTGCGTTTACATCTTACGCTCGCCACCCATGAGGACGGCGTTTGCACCGCCCCGGTGACCCTGGGGAAACTGAGGCTAGATGAGACCGCAGCGGGGTCGTTGGGAAGCCGAGCCGGCGTTGAATCCTGGCAGAGCCCTCTCGGGCCACACGGGCGGGAGCCTGATGCAGGGTGCCGCGGGCCCGGGCAGCCCTGGGATCGCGTGTTGCTGAGGTGCTGGCGTCAGCGCTGAGGTTTGAAAGCTGGCCAGATGGGGTGAGCTCAGCCCTGCTGAAAGTAGCCGAAAGACCCTTGTGGCTTCTTCTCGCCCACTCCCTCTTTTGTCTTCAGTAGCCTCCTAGGTTTCAGACCTCTGAGTTCTCCTTGGCTCACAACATCCATCGTTCACTTTTTCAGCAGTGCATAGTGCCATGCCGTCAGGATGGGCTGTGTAAGTACTTAAACATGCCTCATGAAGAGATTCTTTTTTACAACACTGGGCATTGAACCCAGGGCCTTCACACTGAGCTCCTTCCTCAGCTCTGTCGTTTATTTTGGATTTGGTTTCGTTTTTGGTTTGTTTTTTGGGGGGGAGTTAGAATCTCACTAGCTCCAGACTGGAGGCTGGAATTTGTCATCTTCCTGCCTCAGGCTCCCAGAGGTGGCTGATATTACAGGAGTACACCACTATGCCTGGCTAAAAATACACATATCACAGAATTTACAGTTTGTATCTTTTTTTTTTTTGTATAAGGATTGAGCCCAGAATCCTCCCACTATTCACATCCCCATTATTTTATTTATTTAAGCACCAGGCTACACCCCAAATCCTTTTTTAAAAATTTGAGACAGGGTCACTCTAGTGGCCTAGGCTGAGCTCCTTAAATAGCTGGGATTAAAGTACTTGAAGACTAGCCAGCTATTTGTCATCAGTTTTTAGAATATCACCTTCCTCCACAAACTACTCCATGAAGCAGTAACTGACTCCCTTACTCACAAAACTACACTTTGTCCTGTCACTGCATTTGATTGCTCTAGCTGTCCCATAGAAGCATTGGTCTTCTTGTGTCTGGCTTATTTTGCTCAGTTTAGTATTTTGTAACCTGGACCAAAATTTCCTTTTTTTTTAAGGCTGAATAAAATTGCACTGTACAGGGGCTGGGGAGATAGCTCAGCAGCATAAGTGCCTGCCTGGCAAGTGCCAGATCCCAAGTTTGATCCCCCAGTAACACACATGCACCCCACACTGTACGGACATCCTATGTTTTGCTTCTCCATTCCTAAATGTAGACCCTAGGGATGCTTCCACCTTTTGGCTGCTTAAATAATGCTCCTGTCTTAAGAAGCTTTACTGTATTTTTAAAGCCATAATTTTGGTTTTCTTGCTTTTTTAAACAATTCTCCACCTGACAGCTGCTTATCCTTGAAAATCCAACTGAAGACTGACACATTTGTAAAATCTTATCAATTTTTCAGACAGCACACACCAAACCCTGTCTCCTTATAGTCTTTTTTTTTCTTTTTAACCAACCATTTCCTGAGCATCTACCTGTTAGCTGCTTCATCTGGCATGGAAATTCCATCTCACACTGAGACAGCAGTTGAGACTGGGTATGGTGGTGCACGCCTATAATCCCAGCTCTTGGGAGGCTATAAACAGGCGGATCACTGAGTCAGATCTAGTAGTGAGACCCTGAACACCCTGTAGACCCTTCCCTAATATATAGAGAAAGAAAATAAAGAAATCCCATCTCAGCCCACGTAGCCATCACAGTTCAGCAGGTACTATAAGTGCCTTTGCCTTACCTTGTAACTAGGTGCTGGAGATCACAATAACAAGATAGGTTGTACCTGTGCTTTGTTTTTAAAAATCATCCTTCTCTTACAAAACCAACTTTGGTTTGCTACTATTTGTGGAGTAAATCAGTTTCATTTTCCAATGAGCTACTATCTTCCCATCTTTGACTTTGCAGTTTGCTTGCAAATAATGTAGCCAGTCTTCCACATGTTGTTTTCATTTAAATTTGTTGTTTTCATTTAAATTTGTTGTTTTCATTTAAATTTAACTTTAAAGAGTCTTTAAAGGCTAAATTCCAATGCTTTCTTTTGATACACTTGAATTTTTTTTTGGCCCCATGTGAGCCCCCTGCCAGGATTACAGGCTGGCTTCACTTTAGCACTTTTCTAGTAGAAATAGCTATTAGTAGGAATAGTTTTCTTCCCTCTTGTTTAACTAACTTGTCTATTGTCTGAGTATTAGTCCCTGAACAGTAACAATTTCATTTTCAGCTTTGGGTACCTCTGACACATGCTTTGCCTGTAGATACTGTTTAATAAAGTTAATTTTCATATGATGAGAATGATAGTCTGCTTAGTCTTTTGTGGAAAAAATCACCTTTTGCTCTACTTGCATTTGGTTTTCCTGAGATCTTGGGCAGTGACACATGTTGTTTCTGTGATGTTTTCCCCCCTACGCTGGGAAAGTGTGCCTCTCCAGTCTCAGGCCCTTCATCCCACCACAGCCACCACTATCCCATCTTGAACATAGGGGATGCTGTTATATCCCCAGACTGTTTTTAAATTTTTATTTTGAGGCATGGTCTTGCTAAGTGTTCCGTGCTGGTGTTGCACTTTCA